TTCTGATCCCTCTGGGTTGGAATGTCCATTTGCTGGTCTGTCTCCCTCATTACACCCCACAAGAACTTACTTTTTTTTTTTCTTTACACATGGTAGGTCTCAATACACGATGAAAGATGCATAACTGAACGGAGGAATGGTCAAAGCCTCAAAGGAGGAAGCTCCAGCGAGGCGGAGAAAAGAGAGCACCTCCTCTCCCCCGGCAGAGGCTGCTCTGCCCTCAGCACTAAGCGCCCCCGTCTGAGGGCTCTGCAAAGGCCTCTGCCGCTGGGCAGGCTCCCTGCCACACGTCTCCATGGAGCTCCCCTGGCTGGTAACATGGGCACTAGCTTTGCAAGGTGGAGTGATTAATGTAATAACAATCTCAACAGTTTCTGTCCTCACTGGAAAGCTAAGTGTTCTTTTTTTTTTTTTTTTTTTTTTTTTTTTTTTTTTTTTAATTTTTTGTTTATTGCAGTAACATTGGTTTATAACATTGTAAAAATTTCAGGTGTACATCATTGTACTTCTATTTCTGCATAGATTACATCATGTTCACCACCAAAATACTAATTACAACCCATCACCACACACATGTACCCAATTATCCCTTTCACCCTCCTCCCTCCCCCCTTCCCCTCTGGTAACCACCAATCCAATCTCTGTCCCTATGTGTTTGTTTATTGTTGTTATTATCTACTACTTAATGAAGGAAATCATACGGTATTTGACCTTCTCCCTCTGACTTATTTCACTTTGCATCATGCCCTCAATGTCCATCCATGTTGTCACAAATGGCTGGATTTCGTCGTTTCTTATGGCTGAGTAGTATTCCATTGTGTATATATACCACAGCTTTTTTATCCATTCGTCCCTTGATGGGCACTTAGGTTGCTTCCAAGTCTTGGCTATCGTGAATAAGGCTGCAATGAACACAGGGGTGCATGTACCTTTGCAAATTGGTGTTTTCAAGTTCTTTGGATAAATACCCAACAGTGGAATAGCTGGATCATATGGTAGTTCTATCGTTGATTTTTTGAGGAATCTCCATACTGTTTTCCATAGTGGCTGCACCAGTTTGCACTCCCACCAGCAGTGTATGAGAGTTCCCTTCTCTCCACATCCTCTCCAACACATGTTTCCTGTCTTGTTAATTATAGCCATTCTGACGGGCGTGAGGTGATATCTCATTGTAGTTTTGATTTGCATTTCCCTGATAGTTAGTGATTTTGAACATCTTTTCATGTGTCTGTTGGCCATCTGTATATCTTCTTTGGAAAAATGTCTGTTCAGGTCTTTTGCCCATTTTTTAATTGGGTTGGTAGTTTTTTTGTTGTTGAGATGCATGAGTTCTTTATATATTTTGGAGATTAAGCCCTTATCAGATGTATGGTTTGCAAATATCTTCTCCCAATTGTTAGGTTGTCTTTTCGTTTTGTTGATGGTTTCCTTTGCTGTGCAGAAGCTTTTTAGTTTGATGTAGTCCCATTTGTTTATTTTTTCTATTGTTTCTCTTGCCCGGTCAGATGTGGTGTTTGAAAAGATGTTGCTAAGACTGATGTCGAAGAGCGTACTGCCTATGTTTTCTTCTAGAACTTTCACAGTTTCAGGTCTTACATTCAAGTCTTTAATCCATTTGGAGTTAATTTTTGTGTATGGTGTAAGGTAAGAGTCTACTTTCATTTTTTTGCATATGGCTATCCAGTTTTCCCAACACCATTTGTTGAAGAGACTTTCTTTTCCCCATTGTATGTTCTTGGCTCCTTTGTCAAAGATTAGCTGTCCATAGATGTGTGGGTTTATTTCTGGGCTTTCGATTCTATTCCATTGATCTGTGTGTCTGTTTTTGTGCCAGTACCATGCTGTTTTGGTTACTATAGCTTTGTAGTATATTTTGAAATCAGGGAGTGTGATACCTCCAGCTTTGTTCTTTTTTCTCAGGATTCCTTTAGCTATTCGGGGTGAAAGCTAAGTGTTCTTAAAGAATGAAACCCGCAGAAACGCAAACTCAAGGCAAGGACCTTTCTGAGGTTAGCCTGCATTACCTGGCTAGTTCAAATTATTTTGCCAGGACACATTAGCTTTAACAGACACATCAAAACAGCTGAAGTCTTTGCTTGGTGAGGGAGCTGGAGTGGGCACTGGAGTCGGACTGTCCCGGGTCTCCATGCTGGCGATATGGCCCTGGGCAGGTCCCTTCAGGTGCCTGAGCTCCAGCTCTGGGTCCATAAAATGTGGCCAATGATCCCTTCCGCAAAAGGCTATGGTGGAGATGCATGTTTTCCAAAAGGAGAATGTACACCACTGGGGCTACATGAGGGGTTTAGGAGACACATAGATGGATACCTAAAAATTTCTTTTGATATGCCTTAGGAAAAAATTGGACTAGTACATCAAACCTCTGATTTTAACAATGTCATCACTTAAGATGAGGCTAAAGTTGGTACGGATGTCAGGTCTGAGTCTGTTGAAAGGAAAATATCAAGTAAAAAAATAGTACAGATGGTAGGAGAGTGTGGCAACACTTTTTGAAATGGAACTCAAAAGACTGTTCTTTGAGAATATAAAGTCCCTAAAACTCACATCTGCCAGCAGTAGGTGCTCTAGAAACGCTACCTATTACAGTCAATGACCCATCAAACCAGGCGCCTGGGGAAGGACTGGAGGACAGCCTAGCACGGGGGCGAAGCTGGAAAGAGTTAAAAGAAAGGGGTCTTCGGTTTCCCTGGCCCATCCCCCCTGCAGCTAATCTGTCACCTAATGAAGAAGCGGCCGGCACAAGTGAGCTAGCTGGCAGTTCACTTACAGCAAACTGATTAAGAATGTTCAACCAACAGCAGACTGTAGACCTTTCCAGAGAAAATAAATAGAGTGTAGACTGTATGCAAATGTGTTTGTCACTTTGACAGCACGTCTCAATTAAGGCATCTCGCGGCTGTGGGTAGGCTCTGCGGCTGCAGCTGTAAGGGAGAGCCCGCTGCATGGCTGATACTTGGGGCTTGACCTTAATCCGCATGCATGCATTAAAAAAAAAATCCTGCCTTCCTGTACACTTGCATAATGCTGGCAGCCACGTGAGGGAAGTGACAAACGGGGAAAAAAGCCACTTTCGTCCTCTCCAGTTTACAGACCTGTGAAGGCACAGACAGCTCTTATTTCAACAGAGTTTGGGGTGGCTTTTTTAATTGTTTATCCCCCACCCGCGCGTACACACACTCTTATTCCGCGTTTAGCTGGGAATGACATGAAAGTATCTCCACTTCTTGCTGAAATGGAAAGAAGGTCTTTCTCCATTTCAAATAGGGCCTCCTTTTTTGTGTTTCGAAAATGGAATGTTTAACACCATGAAATCCCTCTCCCCCGCCCCCTCTCTCTGTAATGGGCTCCCAACTCCAGCGAGGGGCTCTTTTCATGGGAAGGTTGTGCAGGAATGAGGACAAAGGAAGGCAGGAAGCTGGCTCTGGAATGCCATGCTGGTGACAACCAGGGGCTGTGCTTTCAGCAAACACAGCCAGGGAACTGGGGTGCACATTTCTCCACCAAGGCCTGAACCCGGGGAGGAGGCAGCTCCTCAGGGGTGCGAACACCGACGCAATTGAAGACAATCATTAACCAAATGAGCACTGCCCGTGGATGCTTCTTTCTCGCGCTACAGTTCAATTTTTATAACATCCCTTTTAAGTGTAAAATCAGAAAAGGGGGGTGAACCTCCCCAAGTTTAAGATGTATGATGTATTATCTGTTTCAACAAACTCATCCCTTACAATAATAACCCACAGCAACAATTTCATGAGTTCCCTTCAGTTCTAAATAGCTCAATGCCTGCTACATAGTAGGCACTGGATAAATGTCTGTTAAAAAGAGTAACAGCTTGGGGCCGGCCCTGTGGCGCAAGCGGTTGAGTGCAGCGTGCTCCGCTGCAGCAGCCCAGGGTTCACCGGTTCGGATCCCGGGCATGCACCCACTCAGTGCTTGTCGAGCCATGCTGTGGCGGCATCCTATGTGGGGTAGAGGAAGATGGGCATGGATGTTAGCTCAGGGCCAATCTTCCTCAGCAAAAAGAGGAGGATTGGCATCAGATGTTAGCTCAGGGCTGATCTTCCTCACACACACACACAAAAAAAGTAACATCTTAAATGTATGCTTCTAGGTCCTTTATGTGATAAAATAGCAATCCTATTTAAGATAAAATAAAGACTATTTTAATCATGCTTCATCTAATAAATGGTTAAAGAATCAGGTAATTTAAGAACAAATAACCTTGTAAATTCTTGTTACAGTCATATCTTGCTAATGGAGCCATTTCTCATAAACCAGAAATTATGACTTTTGCTAATCAAGAGAGTCAACTGAAGAGAAGTAGGGGAGGGTATGCAATCTTTTTCAACCGAAAATATAACCACTAATAGGAAATGGATAAAAAATTTCAGTTTCTATGTAGAGTACAATGTTTTACTTAAGTGAAAAAAATCAAACAGACAACTTTTCAAATGCTCAGGTCCCTGAAAATAGTCGGTTTAGAATCGGATCGCTAGAATCGTACATAGCGGGAGTGTTTACTCTGAGAAGCATGACTCCCGATATTGATTTTCAGGAAGTACATTAATAAAGAACTCCTAATTGATTTTTTTAAGACTTTGCTTGTTGCCTTTTATTTCAAGGTGCAAAGAAGGGCCTGGGATGCTCAAGTGTTCTAATGAGATGCTTAGCTAACAGAGGCACCTTAAACAGAGCGCCTTGGAGCGGCGAGGCAGCAGCTGCATTTAATGACTTCATTCAAGAGTTGAGCTAGTTTATGACCAGAGCCATGCTGTCTCCCCCAAATTTTTGAAAATTCAACTTCAAAACATGTTTGCAACAAATAAACATTCGAAGATGTGCAAAACTCCATGGCGCTGTTTTGTTTCGCCAAAGAGAACTTAAGTGAAAAACCGTCTGTCTGCTGCATGTGCTACAGCTTCTGATAAAAAAAAGAAAAAGGAAAACAAAACCCAGACCGGGCAAAGGGCCAGGGCGCATACCTGCCCGAAGTGGACTGTGATTGGCCTCCGGTCTTCTCGGAGCTTGGGGTCCTTGGCCTCCACCAGCGGGGACGGCGCGGTCTTTGGCAGCTGCTCTTCTGTGGTGGGGGCACAGCCATTCTCAGCGATGTCCTGCAGGGAGAAGCCCGGTCAAGGTTGGTGTCGGGGTCACGGCACCTGCCGTGAGCACAGGTGCTCCTTCAAACCCCACAGCTAAGTGGCCTGCCACGGAACTCCCCCTGGGACACTCCGAGCCTATCCTCCTACTCGAGATGGAGGAGACTGAAGGCTAACTTGGCTCTTTGACTTTGAAGGACTAGAGAAACTGAAATCAAACACATTAAATGACAAAGACAATATAATAATTCACAATAGTGGGGAAAAAAATCTTGCATCCTGCTACCTTACACGGCTATTTTCATTTTTACATATTCACTTTGTCCACATGCAGACATTTAAAAATTACTTGCAATCACAGCACATGCATAATTTTACATTCTATTTTTTCCTACTATATTATAAGCATCTCCATGGTACTAGTCATTATAATAATAATTTTAATGGATGCATAATATTTCATCGAGCAGATATACAATAATTTAATAAATCATTTTACTACTGTTGGGCATTGAGGTTGTTCCTAATTTCTTTCCTTTCTAAACACCACATGATAAACATCAGAGTTTTTCTTTCTTTTGGATTATTTTTTTTATGGAAATCTCTAGGAATGAAATTACTAGGTCAAAAGATACAAACATTCTTAAGGCTTTTTATTCATTCTACCAAATTGCTTTCCAATTTACACCAACTACCAGCAATGGATGCATTATCAGTTTCATGGTACTCGTTAGCCTTATCGTTTTAAAAATGTATTGCTAATTTACGAGGTGAAAAATTAGATCTCATTGTTGTTTTAATTTGCATTACTCTGATTATTGGTGAGTGTGGACATTTTCTCCACATTTGTTCACTGATGATGTGCCTGTTTGTGAAAGCAATGTGTTCATGCTCCCTCTTTCTTGGCCCTAGTCTTCCTGGCAGAGAATGAAAAGACTAAAGTCTGAGGTAGGATTCCATGACTTGGAGAAAATTTAATATTTTTAAATTCAGAAATTTAAATTTAATTTGTGCTTCTGAGGAATGAAGTCAAATTATAAGGAAAAGAAAAACCCCAATGTGCGAAAGGCAGCTAATGGCTCCATTGGCTAAAGCCAGTGGCTGACTATACCTATGGCTTCTTTGGGATGTGGATGGTGCCCACTTGTGTAATACAGATCATACGCTTTATTCAAATTATGCAAGTTGCTTAAATCTTCATTGGAGCAAGGCAGAGAAAAGACGTAAAAATAAACACTTAAATCATTATTTTTTATCAAGTAAAAATAACTAACAGCCAGAGTGAAGTAATAAATACAATTTCCAATTCTTTTCATTGCAAAAACAAATACACATTTTGGTCAACAAAACACACACCCTTAGTACTCATTAAATTCTGCACATAAAAGACTTGACAACTGCTCTTAACTTAGCCAAATAGAGAGAATGGTGGCACACGGAGGAACGTGCTCCCTTATTGAATAATAACACACTAAGGAAGAAACATATGTAAACTCAGTCTCCTCAACTGTAAAATGGGGATATGGTAGCTATGAGGATTAAAGGAGATAAAGCAACATAAAAGTGTCTAGACCATTATTACTCAATAATATACTATATACAGTACTTGATAACAACAACTGAGTACCTACTAATAAGGTACTCAATAAACTAGGAATTTCTCTCTTTCTCTCCATGCATCCAGCTGCAGTTTCTATACTGCCTGGTAACAACAGAGGGAGATGATGACCTCTTGGTTCTGCAAGGAGGGCTTACATCAAGTGGCCCACAAGTCTTAGCCCAGCTGAGGCTTAGTGATGAGAGAGGCTGCCGACAGCCAATTAGAAATGGCTCTTTTGGAAACGGGCTGCCCTAAGGTGCCCAGGTCAAGTGGAACAAAGAGGGGGAGGGGCTCCTTTTGGACCAGAAAGTAACAAAGGGCAAAAGAGGCATTTTGGATCCAGGTGGGGGTACTGAGAAGACAGGCACAAGAGGTTGAGGAAACCTAAACAGTAAAAAAATTCACTTTTAGTTCAGAAAAAGTACTGCATGTGTGTGTGAGTGATTGGCGGGAAAAAAAAATGGAGCTGTAAGGTAACATGGCAAGAAAATATTGATATTAATGAAAACTATACAATGATAGCTATTTAAAAAATGTACGTGGTAGTTCTGGGTAAAGCATCTTAGTTTAAGCTTATGGGTAAAAACACTGTCTTCTAGTTTTGTTTTTACCATTAACTAGCTGTCTGATCTTTCCAGGGCACTCAACCTCTCTGCACCTATTCTTTATAACAGGGAGACCACCACCTGCTTGGCAAACTTCAAAGCTACTGGGAGAATGGGTTAAACGAGATGAGATGTGAGGAAGCTTTGACAAATGTTAGTCCTGTACAAACTGGACGTTAGATAATTATCTCTGCAACTCGGGAAGAGCACCATCTAAACGGAAGAGCTGCCTTGCATTGAGCACCTGCTACTGGAAGGCACTTTTCCAGACCCTCAACCTTCACTATCACACTTAGTTTCCACGAGAATCACAAGGTAAACAGGATCATCGCTCTTTTACAGGTAAGGAAACAGCTCAGAGAGGGCAACTTACTCAAGGCCACACAGGTGGAAAGTGGAGGAACCCAGAGCTACGGGATTGCTGGCATTTATAGCATATCGACCCATAACCACAGCACAAATGAAGGTATTCTGAGTTGAGGAGGTGTTCGACAAAGCATCAGATGTGATCCCTACTCGGAAACCTGTCCTGTTGCACTGATCTCGTGCTGCCGTGCCTTATGGGATCCGTGCACTTATCTCCTTATCCCTATAGACTGGGAATTCCTTGCGGTTTTGGGTTCTCTGCCCTACAGCATATGCTCTCCAATAAATCTTTGTAAAGTTGAGTTGATCATTTGGAAGGCAAATGTGGCCAATATACAAAGGTGCTTGTGCATCAAAAAGCAGGGCTGCACGTTAATTTTCTTTAGTGAGAAGATCCAAAGGTGCAAAAGCCTTCTTACCAAGTCCTGGGGCTCACCCTGCTGATTTATTTCTGCACTGTTTCCTCCACCTGGGGAAAGACAACTGCTTCTTCCCAGGATCCTACTGAGAGCAGCGTGGGAGGAGCCCCCGTCAAGAAAGAGACAGGGCCAGCTCACCTGCTCTATCGCGTCTGCCAGCAGAGGTCTCACACACAGCAGGATCCAATCTCAGCAACTTTTGGTACCCACGACTCAAGACAGTGTGGTCTAAGAACTAATTGAGAAGCTGTCAGCAAAGGGTTTGGGAAAATAGGTGTTCTCATACCCTTCTGGTGGGAATATAAATTGGCAATTTATCTCAAAACCCTAAAAGAGGTGCATGCCCTTTGGCCCATTAATTCCATTTCTAGAAATTTATCCTAATGAAATAATTAAGAATTCCTGCTAGGTTTTACCTATGAGGATATTTGCCTAGAAAAAATTGGAACTAAAGTGTCCAACAACGGGATTGATTAATGTATATATGCCCATCAGATAAAATTTTATGTAGCCATTTAAACCAATGACATGTGGAAGAAACACTTAGTGGTCTGGGAAATGCTCAGAATATGATAAAGTGCAGGTTATAAAACAAGATCATTTTCTTTTTGCTCCTCTGATTGTTTTGATTTTCTCCAATAAACATGTTTTTTGTTTGTAAACAGAAAAAACTGACTGTCGAGATGTCATTTTAAAAAAAGCAAAACCAAGAAGCTGACAGAAAGGGTAAATCTATTCCTTCCTGAAGGGTCACAAAGGAGGAAGACACTAGACAGAGCCGCAGATCAGAGGCCACCGCAGGGTGACAAATCTCTTCCCAGGAGCCCCGCAGCTCTGCTCAGAGCACTGGGGTCCTACCAGTTCCCATCCCTCGGTAAAGCAAAGGAGTCAGAAAATAATTCAATTCCCATCATCTTCCCTAAGCGTTTGCTGGAATGAGAAATCATGACTGAGAGCTAATCTCCACCCATCTGCGGAGAAGGCAGGGACAGCACAAGGTAAGTCCTTGGACAGAGCACCCGTGAGAAGTCAGGAGGCAGGAACCCAGAGGAGGAAGGGGCCCTGAGTGACCTTGGGTTGGAGCTGAGGTGGGGGTTGGACAGGGAAGGAGCTGAGGATGTGACTTCACGAGGCAGAGATGCAAGAAGAGCTCTCCCGGCCCAGGGGAGGAAGAGTGGTACCTAGTTAAGGAATGGCCGATGGCCCAGCAGCTGGGGCATTCCAGGAATCCCCTGGCCAGGGAGGTGGAAGGTTTGAAAGGTCTGAAACAGTTTAATCAAGAGAGTGACTTGGTCAGAGTTGTGTTCTAGAAAGATTGCTCTGGTGGCTGTGCGGATGACCAAAAAGAAGATAATTCCACGTCAGCCATGTTCTCGGGCTAAGTGCATGTGGGTGTCTGGGTAGACCAGCTACTCCAGAGCTGGGATATGCGAAAAGGACAGGATGGGAACTTGCATTTACTGAGTGGCTACTAAGTGTTGCTTTTTAAACTCATTACCTCATTACTCTTCTAATTCTTACAACAATCCAGTAAAAATCTTTATTTCCCCTAGTTTACAAATGAGAAAAACCAGGTTCAGAGAGGTCTAGTAACTTACTCAAGGTCACACAGTTAATATCCTACACAATCAGCAGCGAACCCAACTCGCCTGCCTCAGAAGCCCAAATCTGATGCCATGGTGCTGGAAGTTGAAAGGCCCCTGGGAGTGAGAGGCAGAGGCCTTACTGTCTCTGACTCAGATTGCTGGTCCCCATTCTCAGAATCATGCTGTGCCCTTCTTTTCTAGTCTACTTCACACCACAGCAAATGCAAATTAAAATATGAATAATGATATTAAAATAGTATCCAAAGTTGGAATTTCTGTGATTGAGGCTGCGGCGTATTTTAACGTGTCTAGAGACAGGGAGCTGACAGTTGTATGATAAGGTGTGAAAATGCCTGTTCTACAAGAGTCTACCTAGATCTCCCTGCCCCACACATGCTTACTCACCTCCTTCAATACACTAGGAAGTGTTTGGCCAGAAACTCAAGCCTTCACTAACCTAGCTGTGAATTTCTGCTTTCAATCACAGAGACTCGAAATCAACAAGCTCGATTTATCTTTTCAAGATAAAGACTTAAAACTTTAAAAAGGGCTGTGAAATGAGCCCATTTGCTGAAATCATTTTGATACTGAAGAAAAAAGGTAATTTTTCAGGGTTCGCCCATAGGCAAAAAAATGACATCCTTATGTGAATATCTTAATGTTCCTTGCAGGTGAGAAGGAATGTGTGTGCAGCCATCGCTTTTAAAACCTGGCCTTCTGATGCCAGCCTCGTATGGTGCTGCGAGAGAATGCAATTTGTTGACAGTCACAAGCCCAGCCACGCGGCATTCTTCTGCGGCCAGGGTCTGGCAGAGAGACGCTCCAGAGGAAAGCACTGCATTCTCCCTTTAGAAAGCGACGGCTGGGTAGCATCTATGCCATTTCTTCTGCTTCCTAATTTTGAGCAAGTCAGACTTCAAAAGAGGCCAAGCTATAGAAGAACTTGACCACCTTGCTCCATTTATCCAGAGAAATATGTTACCCATCCTTCTTTTTTTGTTGTTGGGCTGAAGCAGAGCACGTGTGGAATAAAGCCGCACTATAGTATCTATTAACAATTACTTGCCAATGGTCACATGGACACTCTAAAAGCTCCTATTTCAGATGCTTTGAAAATCTGCAGCACAAATGAACAAGGGATGGAGAAGGGGCTCTGCTCAGTCATATTAGAGATGGACCCTCCACACACCATGGTAACCTCTCCACAGGTCGGCCCCACATTTTCTATTTGCAATTCAAACCCAAGGCAAGAGCGAAGAGGGCAAGATTGGGTTCTTGATTATATCTGCGAGGTCACCATTGCTATGCAGAGTTAGAGGAGGCCAGGTGGCAACCCAGTACATTTGAAAATTGGATCTTTGTTGGGAACTGCCTCAATTTCATAGCAGAAACCAAATTTGAGATGTCTGCATTAGACTCATCTGGGGAGCCACACAGATATGCTGCCACATAAAGGGGAGGGGGCAGAGGGAGGGAAAGAAAAAAGCCAAGGAAGTATTTTCTACTGCAGTGAGAGAGGTCAGGCGAAGCCAAATCCTGAATTAGCTCAAGAAAGGGAGCTGGAGAGCACTGCAGAAGACCAAGTCCTGTCCGTACTGAACAATGCTGGAGTTTCAATTACAAAACAGCTCTTCCAAGAACAACTGCAAAATATCAAGTCTGTAGAAATCTGTAAGACCGAAGGGGGGAAAAGTGAAAATTGAAAAGGGTATACTAATAGATCTGTCAACAGTCTGATGGTGACAAGCCACATTTCTATAAAATGCCTTTACCATTTGTGTCACCTGAAATGTACTGACACTCTCTATAGAACATTATCTCCTGAAGCTATTCTTGAAAAGACTGGCAGGGGGAAGAGGAGAAAGGGAGGGGAAAATCAGCTTTAGATACTATCAAGGGAAGGAAAGGGAGATGGTGTGGAGGGAGAGAGATCTAGATTGTTTAAGTGAACCTGTGAACAACATCAAAAAACCTGAGCGTAACTGGTTATTTGCAGAAATGTTACATATCATAAAAAGGGGGTTTTCTTAAGGCCCAGTGTTTACACATACGAGGAGGGAGGCAATGGCCTGCAGAGAGCAGATCTGACCAGTGAGGTGCCTCTGTCCTCGGCCTGAGGAGGGACCCCTTTCTTTGCTTACTTCAAGTAATATTCTAATACCAGCCAGAGCCCAGGATCTAGTCACCAAGGAGGGAAAATCTGGTGAGAGAATTCCCCCCTCCCTGCCACTCCATTTTATGTCTGCAATCCAACTCAGTTACATGCGACTGGGATAGGAGATAAAAAGGTATATTTAGGGACTTAAATAACAGTGAAGTAAAGAATTCCAGCTGCCAGTCTCTGGCAGGGTGCAATAGACCACAGTTAAGGTCTATCTGAATTTACACTACAGGATTTTTATTTCAGGACTTGAATCTCAGCTGTTAAAAATTCACTCTCAGCTGAAACTAAGAATTTAAATGCTTAGTCAGAGCAAATTATTTTGCAATTAAAAGAAAGGAATCAATTCCTTTGACCATTTCAAGTTAATGAGAGGTCAATAAACTTCATAAACTGATGTCATAAAATTAAAACTGCTTTCAATTTTTAAAAAACTGCCGAGCTAGACAAAGGCCCTTATTAGAGTGGTACACTGTGGGGTGTGTGGGGATAACGAAGTAAGTGATCCCAAACACCTTTTGGAAAACGGAACACTAGTTTCAGGAAGGCACTATGAAGTACTGTAGTGGGAAGAGCACAGATGCTGGTAGTAGATGGATCTGGAATCTAATCCTGGCTCTGCCAGGCTCCAACAGTGTGACCTTGGGCAAATTACGTCACCTCTGAACTGCAGTCTCCTTACACATGAAATGGGAATAATATCCCCCAAGGTTGTTCTAAGGATTAAATGTGAGAGCTCCTAGCGGGGCCATCCTTAGTAAGTGCTTAATGAAGGATGGCAGCAATAATGATGACATCCATAACAATATAAGAATGCTCTCTCTGTTACATTAACCTCCCTGTACACGTCTTGAGAATCAGGTAAGGGGACTCTTAGCCAGGATGTAGCCTGTATGATTTCATACAACTCTACCAATGGTTCAAGAAGACAAGCAGAGCCTCTCCCTGCCCCTAAAGGTCTCAAACATGAACCGCTGGGCTCCTCTCGGTTAGTCCACCACTGTGAGGAGAGCCCACAGTCCTCCTCAAACCCACCCTTTGTGCCCCGTGTCTGCGTGGTAGCCACGTGCACGCGGAACCACGGCAGTCATTTCTGTGGAGGTGCCTCTTGGTTTTTCTTACAACCGGCCCGAGAGCAGAAGTCAGCTGGAGGAGGGAGTGGTGCCGGGATGGGGAGGCCGAGCCAATTTCTATAGACCCCAGTGAACGCCAGGCCCAGTGGGATGGGCAAGGGACAGACAAATAGCGGTAACTCTCAACTTGCTTTCCTTTGTGGGTTTAAGCCAGAGTCTTAATGTTATCTGAAGACAGTTTTTTGTCTGTGAATATTTATAACAGTGTGAAAACTCCCGGACAGCTGGTAATGCATTTTGAAGTGTGCTAACAACACTGTATCAAACAGCCCTCTATTGATCACATCATACTTTTTTGTGGCCACGCATTTCATACACGGTGCTTATACATTTTGAATAAGAACTTCAAGTACCTTTTGCTTCAAGCGGTTTTTCACCTCTTTTATTCCCATTTTTGCATGATCTTTTGCCTGCATGAAAAATTAATTTAAGTTAAGATTCCCTTTCTGTTTCCAGCAGGGACTATGCTTGATGTCAGTCCGTTGCGAATCACCTTCTCTGATTACTAGAAAAAGGAAGGAAAAATGGGATCATCAAGTTGAAAACATAATGGCTATGAAAACAAATACAATGTTAAAAGGTTAAAAAAAAAAATCCTTAAAGAGGTTACAGAGATTTTATTTTCTGCATTTTGATGGCACTGAATTTTTTTTTTCACTTTCTGAAGCCCTTCTTCTGCTCTCTGTAATTATTTATCCCGGCAGCCTGGTGACAGCTACCAGTAAGAGGAGGGCAGCAGCTTTTCTGGCTGCAAGATTCACAATACCTATTACATTTCACTAGGGCAGGGCCTCAGGACCAATTTTCTGCCCAGGCTGAATGGCCTGAACAGACACATCACTGAGTTTCTCTAGTTCCACTCCTTAAATCTCATTTCGGCAGACGCCCTGGCTTTTATTTTCTGTCATTTTATTTATTTATTTATTTTTCCCCCCAAAGCCCCAGTAGATAGTTGTATGTCATAGCTGCACATCCTTCTAGTTGCTGTATGTGGGACGCGGCCTCAGCATGGCCAGAGAAGCGGTGCGTCAGTGCGCGCCTGGGATCCGAACCCGGGCCGCCAGCAGCGGGGTGCGTGCACTTAACCACTAAGCCACGGGGCTGGCCCTATTTTCTGTCATTTTAGACCTGTGTGGTTCTGTTGGCAGCCACCCACTCCGTTAAAATAACTACAATTTAAGCATAGAAAGGACTAACAAAATTAAAAATGGAAATAAAACAAAACCACCTCAGTTAAGTGGCTCAGAGTCAAATTAGCAAGCGAGAGAAATCATGAGAAGAATATACTTGAGGCTTCTAAGAGATGGAGCGTCGGGAACTGACGTGTTCTCCTATTTTCACTCTGCTGTGGGCATGAGTTCCACAAACAATGCATTTCCTACAGGGCAGTGATGAGAGAGACGATGAAGGATTTGGGACAAAAATTAGGGGGTGTGTTCCACCATGAACACTCTTCAGTAACCTGTAAAGGAGCTGCTTTATTTTAACATAGTAACAGGGCTACCCATAGGAAAAGTTTGCCAGAACACCAGGTAGACCACGCCTCTGGGTCTTAGGGACGCAGGCATGGAGCAGACAGAATTTTAGCCACCCAGTCTACATTTTAAAAGCTAAAACCAGTAGCCTCCCATTTCTCTATCACAGCAACTGTGAGCAGAAACACTTTAAATTAAAAATGTCAGTGACCTGGTCATAAAATATCGCTGCAAAATAATTCTAAGAGCATTGAGAGCTTTAGGCAATAGCCCAGCAGCCCCTGAATCATCTCTGCAGTATAGGGTCAGGTACATTTAAGAGTTTTGTCATGCTAAGGAACAGATCTGTTTGGATCCTGAGACCAAGACCAGTACTTACAAACTTATAGACAGTCTTCATGGCCGGGTTTGCTTTCGTTTTTACAGTATTCAGAATTGCTCCACTTCCTTTCTATAATAAAAATGTCAATTAGCAATTTGGGCTGAAGATATAGTAGGCCAACACCAACAAAGACCTCTTCTCTTTAATCAAGTTAAGCAACATTTCAAGAGTGTGTAATTTAATTAGAGAAACAGGCCTAGATGGTAACTGGTCCCGGGCAATTAGTTAAGTCCCTGGCAGAATCACCATGGGTGGGTATTGCGGGGGAGGTCGGGGATGAGGATGGTGATAACCAGCTGAGGGGGACTCTGGGCTCAGTATTTTGCTTGGCACCAGTCCACTGGTTGAAACGAAAGCTTATCACGGGCTCTCTGAAGCAAGGGTTTCCCTAGAGTAATCTACAGCTTCTAAAGAAATTCTAGCCACCATGGACAACGTTAAGGTAAGCTGAATAATGATGGACTCTATAGCCAATGCCAAACAGGGGCAGAAAATTGGGGCCCTGGTTAGCCAGGATTATCTGGCTACTCTGGAAATATGCTACCCTCAGCCATGCACCTTCCTTTCCTCATCCTGGTTTTCTGTGTTTTTTTTTAATCACTCTTTAGGGCACCCTTGTAGGCTGCCTTCCTTACATCTGTATCTTGAGAAAAGGAAAGAATGAATGGCTATAAATGTTAATCATTTCCTGGTTCAGTTTTTTAGGGGAGCAGAGGAGGAAGAGGAGGAGGGAAGGCTTTCCCAGCACACAAAGGAAGCAATGAATGGACATTTTGTGAGGGCTCATTGTGGGGACACTGCGTGTTAGGCTCTGAGGGTACTGAGCCACAGGAAGGCTGCTCTCTGCCTTCACAGACCCAGTCCGGAGGGGGCACAGGGTAAATACCTACAGCCTGATGTGATGAGAGCTGCACTGTTCGTGTGCACAAGGAGTGTGGGGGCAGCTCACTGTCTGGAAGGTCAGAGAAGGCTTTAGAGGACGAACCATTTGGCCTGGTCTATGAAGGATGAGTAGGTGCCATGTCGGGGATAAGAAGGATAAAAACATTCTAGGGATAGGAAACAGCACGTAAAAAAGTGCAGAAGCTGAAAAGCCAGGGTGTGTTCTGTGAATCACAAGAGGTCAGCGTGTCAGGGGAGGAACGGCAAGTGAGGCTGAGAGGCCAGATGGGTCAGCTCATGAAGGGCCAGGGTCAGGAGTCTACACTCGAGAGGGTTCTTAATCAAATGGATCACATAATCAGATGTGTAGTGGTTTGCAAAGATAATTCAAACTGATTTGAACGGAGAGACTGGATCCAGCGCGTATATAAAAGAATGATACAGTAATGTAATTACTGGGATTAACTTTTAGCACAATTTTTGGTAACTGCCTGTATTAGAAATTTTGAGCTTTAACTAAAAACATTACAATTTGACCTAGAAAGCATTCTATGTTATAGGACAATATGAAATTTTCACCCACTCATTTATTCCATACTGCTTTCCAAAATTATTTAGTGTCCTATTTCAATGGTCCTTTGGAGTATTAAAACTCCCTTTATCAATCAATCAACAAGTCCTTATTGCTTGACTATGATTGCCAAGTGCTGTGTTTGGCCCCACAAGAAGAACAAAAGAAGTCTTTCATTGAGGAATTGCTTACTCTCAGCCAACTGCAGCCACTTCCAAGGGACCCGCCTTGGCAGCAGCGCCCTTGGCCCATGAGCGGGAGAGAACACTTATCACACTATGCCAAAGTTGCCTGTTTACGTGCTGCCTCCCCAACAAGATGGGGAGCTCCCCCAGGGCAGGGCCTGTGTCCTGCTCCCCATTGCATCCCCAAGACCCAGCATGGCACCCAGCACACAGTAGGCCTTCAGTACATACTGATAAACAGATGTAAAGGAAAGTCAAGAATTTGAATTCTTTAGTGGCTTCTGAAGCCCTAAGCACCTGGCTTCCAACACAACAAGAAACTGTTCACAGCAACAGTGAGGGGATGAAAAACTCTCAGTGATGTGTCCCCCCCCATCTTTCCAGGAGCCTTTGCTGTGAAAAATATTGCAGAGCAGCAAGAGGGTCACATTTTTGGTTTTCCCATGAAAATTTCCCAATTGCACTGGCCCTAGGAGGAGCCCTCCCCAGAAATGCTTTAAGATGACAACACCCATTCAGCATGCCTTGGCCAGCTTCCTGAGACAAGGAAGCTTCTTCTGGCTCTCCTCACCCTCACCCAGGGATGGCTTTGGACAGTCTCATCCTGCTGTCTCCACCTGGCACTAGAACAGCCTGGCTTTACAAACAACCGCATCTTCCGCTGAGAGAATGGAATGCCCCAGGCCGAATGACAGCCTTGTGGGTGGCTGGGGAAGCAGAGGGCTGCCAGGATGCTAAGGAGGGGCCCAGGTGGCTCCGAGGGGGTGCACACTTACCCGGACTGTGGAGAGCCACTGATGGTACAGTTTATCGCTGCCTGGGGAAAGAGGAGTCAGAGAAGCTGTTACCGAAAGAAGTTACGTGCCCTCAGGAGTTCCTCATATTGCTTTCAGCACGGAGGGCTCGGAGAGCTCAAAAGCTGGAGAATCACACGGAGGCTCCCCTGCCCTGTTCTCTGAAGGAGGCAGGAGCATGGCTGCCACAGGTTCTCTTTTTCAAACACAGATCTGACCCTATCAGCGCCCTGAGTACAAACCCAAATCCTCCCCATTGCCCACTGGATAGAGGTCAGACCTCTTAGCAACCCTGCCTCTCTTCTCCCGTTTCATCTTGGCACTGCCCACCCTCTGCCTCTCCATCCTGTACGACCATTCTGTACTACCGTATGCTCCAACCACAAGGAACTACCTCAGGCTCCCTGACCATGCATCCTCGCAGTCCTCCACGCCCTTGCAAATGCTGTTCCCCTTGCCTGGCCACTGTTCCCCACTGTTCCTCTCTGCTGAGTACACTTAACGACCAGCTCAGACGTCACTTCCTCTGCGGGCTTCTCCTTTCTCCTACTCCTTCCTCTGAACAGCCCGATAAATAGGTAATACCCATTCAGAAGTCCAAATTCTCTGAAGTTCTGTGAGCCACCCCAGGGCAGGAACCATGGGGCTGAGTGTCCAGTGTCCACGCTGCTGGACACATACTGGGCCCTCAACCCTTGTGTGTTGGAAAAGAAAAAGGAGGCGTTGTTGGGGAACTTGTCATTTCATCTGGTGGGATAAGGAGGTCTTGTCGGTAGACAGCTCTTCTAGAAGCTCCGAATGATCTGACTTAGTTTAGCAACACATAAAGCCCGCCTTCTCCTCAGAACGCATATTCAACTGTTAGAACACTACTTTGGGAAGTTCTCGCGTTACAGAGTGAGAATTAACAGAGCCCTGTTCTAACGGCACAAAAACCTGTTTCTACTCCTTTTCCTGCACTGGTTTAATTTGTACTTGTCTTGAGTTATGCATCTCTTTCTCCTGCCAGTCTACAAGCTCTTTGAGGGCAGACCTGGGTCTTCCATTTCTTACTCTACAGGGCTCTGGACACAGCAGGTGTTCAGGAAATGCTTATCAACGATCCGCTATTACTGTCTGCAGACTTGCCCGGATTTTATTGATTAATTGTGCTCATCATGCAGCAGAGGCTGGTGGGGCCTATAAAAGGGGTTCTGTAGGTGAGATAATGCCTGACTCTATGAGTTTATGGACTGCTAGTTGGATTATCACTGTAGTCCAGACCAGACACATGCCCAGCAATAAGAGGGGGCCAGCAGCACGATTCTTATTTTGCATTTAGTTTTGACTGCTGCCAAAGACAGGCTTTGGGACTTAGAGAGAAGGCCAGATCGGGACTCAGGAGGCAGGGTCAGCCACTAACACCTCTCTGGCCCTCAGCTGCTTTCTCTGAAAAATGAGAGGATGATCCCTCCAGTTCTAAAGGTCCACAGAGACCAGGCACTCTGTGAGGATTTTCACATTTTAAAGAAACATTTACTGAGCAGTGATCCTACGCCAGGGTCTGTCCCGGGTGGCTGTATAAACCTGTCCTCCCAGATCCTGGTTTAACCTCAGCAGGAATCCTGGGAGGGAGGCACCGTTACTCTCAGCACATAAATAGGAAAACTTCAGCTGAAAGAGATGAAATGACTCGACCAGGTTCTCGCCGCTAGTAAGGAGGTGGCGTCCTGATTTGAATCCACGTCCCTAATTTGTACCTTGCACGCTTCCCACTGCATCATGTTAACTACGGTAACTAGACTCTGCTCACCCAGGGGAAGCAACTGACCCCAGGACAGAAGATTTCAGCTGGGCCAACGTGCATCTCATCAGAAAATGACGAGGAATTCCTCAAACATTTCAACGCCAAGATTGAAATCAGTTTTTCCCTAACTCCCAACGAAGGAAAAAAGAAGTCACTGCTCGTCCTTGCCAAACACACCCTAATCCCATACAGCAGCCCGCAGTGCAGAAAGGAAAATGAAATGCTTCTCACCAGCATACTCGCCCATGCTGATCTCCTCTTCAAAAACATCACTGAAACCTTCACCGGAATTGAGAAGGTCTAATCTACCATCAATAAACTATAGAAAGAAAGAACAAAAACATAACAGCATGCACACAGAAATGGGAGAAAAAAACCATTCAGCTGGGTACCTTAGTGTATAACCAAAGAACAACTACGTTTTCCAAGACAGGAAAGGGCCTTTGGAACTGTGAGTTTTCAAAAAGTGAGTTTCAACAAGCGGGTTTCTAAAAAACTGGCTGCATGTTCCTGATAACTTGTAAAACCGCATGGCATATTTGCAGAGGGTCTGTCTGGCCCCTGACCACCCACCTCACCCAATCCCCCTCCCCAGACTCTGAGCCTCTTTAGGCTGAGGTCCGAGCCCCACCCACGCCTGCAGCCTCAGTGCTTAGCATGGAGACAGCTGTAGAAATCCCCACCAGGGATCCAGACCCAGGCCAACCTCAGGAGAGCCGGGCACCTGTTTGAAGAGCTGCAGCTGTGTGGCATTCTGCAGGAACTGCCTCATGGCTCCAGAGCGATAGTGGGACACGAAGGCTTCCTCACAGAAGGTGATTGGCTCCTCCTGGGAAATGGAGACAAGAGAGGACCGTTAGAGGAACGGAGTGAGAGCGATCGGTTCTTAAACTGGGTTAGGCGGTGCTTCCACATCTGCTGGTTTATCTAATCCTCCTTTACCTGGTGAAGTGGCTATTAGCATCGATGGCCTTCTAGTCTACGGATAAGGAAGCTGTGTCAGAGAGGAAAAGTCATCCCCCAAAGTCACAGACCTGGTAGGAGGCAGAGTGGGAAGCAAAGGTGGGATTCCAACCCCTCCCCTGGCCCCTTCCATATAAGCCACAGTCAGGTTCCAACAGCAAGTTGGGGGGATGTGCCCTCTAATATGATGATTTCCAAACTTGTCTTTTCACTTTTAGGAGCAGAACTCTTCCCCAGATAGCACCTCATGCAGGAGGAGCCCTGCTGCATAAAACAGCCCAGCTGCTCCGCGGGAGCCAGGGCAGGGGTGATGGCTGAGCTCTCCTTGCTGGGCTGGCTCCTCCTCCCCCACCCCAGGCCCCTCTGCAGTCCCTGAGGCACCAGCTATGGAACACAGTTTGAAAACCATTTACACAGTGATCTTAACCAATAGCAAATTATAATTTTAAAGTAATTATTTATATGAAAAAGCAGGGATGATCAAAAATAAAATTTACCATCCAGTCAATTTTATGCTTATGCTGTTTGATAAGAAAGTTTGCTTTTACCAAACTATATTTTATGAGTCAAGAAAATGACACCCTAAGCTTAAAAAACATCCCACCCTTATAGTCAACACCTCAATCCTCCTTTGAAGGTATGTGGAGTGGTCATCCACACAGACAAGTCTTTAATTTCAATGGTGTATTCTCAATTCTGAAAGATCAGACTTTTATATCTTGAACCGAATTAAAGGTACCCCTCCCTTCTAAGACTTGGTGGCAAACACAGAGATGTTTGAAGCTCCACTTTTATCCTGTTTTAATGAGTTACATGAGTGTTAAATCTACTGTCTAGCTGCTGTAAATTCCAAGAGATCCTCCTGCTTAAATCTAGCCAATATTAGCTCAGTAACTGGGCAGACTTACTGCACAAAGGCTGCACGGATAACCCCCCAAAAATTAGGTTGGGGGGAATGTTTATTTTAACATAGGTACACACCACCTAATTCTACAAAGGATCTGAGGCAGCCTATAAGAGCACCTAACAAACAAAAAAAAATCAGAGCTGGAAAATACATAAATATATAAAATGTATTTATTTGAGAAAAGAGTATCAGATACACAGGTTCTATATAGTTTCTAAAATTAAGTTACAAAATTAGCTCTGAGCTTTCTGGCTGCTGAGGCAAGAAGGGAAACAATGCAAACTTTACATTGTCTATGAGACAAAAAAGCTTACCAGTTCCTCAGGAAAAAGACAGAGCTTTTCATGACATTTATTACTTTGGCATGGATTTACACCTTTCTTGCTGAAGGGCTGAGAGATCAGCTGTGATAACCAACAGAAGCCCTCCTAGAATTCCATTCCTCTGGCCTGGAAGTTTTGCTTCTCACCCTTGGAACCAGAACGTGGCAATTAATTCTCTCTCTAGGTGATCTCATCAATGAGCACAGTGTCACTCATACATTGAATGATTCTGTTATCATACACTGAACGATACACACTGTCAGCTCGGACATCTTTCACGAGCTCCAAACCCACGTCTCCGTCCTCACTTGGATGGCCACTAGCACTTCAAACTCAAAACGGCCCAAACCCCCAATTATTATCCCATTTGGACTGCACCCCAGATCTATTTTTCTTTCTTTCCTAAGTTATCATTATCCATTGCTACCCATAGGAGACCTATCAGACTTCCCAAGTCCTTCTCATTTTACCAGTGAAGTGTCTTACATCTGTCCCCTGCTCTCCATCCCACAACCTTGGCGCAGGACTGTCTGCCCTGTGGAGGTTTAACTCTATGTCCCTCTCCTGTTTCATTCCGCCCAGTCTACTCCAATTCTTCTCGCCAGAGTGATTTCTAAAAGGCAAACTGGATCAAGTCACTATCCTGCTCAAGAACTGTGGTTGCAGAGATGTTACGTTTGTGTGATTATTTGATTAATGTCTGTTTCTTCCACTAGCCTATAAACTTCATGTGCACAGGAACGGTACCTGTTTTGCTCAACATTATGTGTCACACACATGGGGTCCTAGATGAAAGAGGAAAGAAAAAGTCCTAGCTCCCTATCTGGGAAACAAACCCTCTTGTGTCACGTTCCTCTGCTCCCCCACATACCTTCTGCTCCAATGCATCTCCTACTCACATGCCAGGTCCTTTCCCACTTTATTCCTTGCTTTTGCCAGTTCTATTCCTTCCACCTGGACCATCCTCCTCCAACACAGGCCTCTGTGCGGCAGTCACTCACCCTGCTCGGTGTTCCCACAGTGCCTTGTGCATCCCTGGGTGCTGGGTAATCATCACTGTGTCCCCTGTGACAGGAGCCTAAGAGGGCAGAGGCTCTGCTGGACCCATCTCTACCCTCCCCAAGACAGTGCAGAGCCCAGCCCCCAGTCAGAAGCTCAGGGATGCTGGGTAAAGAACCACAGAATGAGTTTGACCCTGGTTCCTGTCACAGGAGCCCTGTGGTCTCGGTGTGGCTGAGACCCCACTTGGCCTGATGGTAAAGAGGTCTCAGAGCACGATACCAGCTGAGTGACGCCTGTGTCCAGGGAGTTTAGAGCTGCTCAGAGGAAATGCTCACTGGAGTTGTTAGCATTCCCTCCTGGAGCTTTGGTCCAGCATTGCCAGGAAGGAGAAGTCTGCTGAGGGACCAATAAATTCAAGCGAGTTGGCAACCAGATTTGTACATGAGGGTAGCCTGAGGCAGGACTTAGCTGTAGGAGAGCAGACTCTCATCTTGGGGAGACGTGAACACTTTGGGCCTGTTGTCTACTTACTGGCGGTGACATTTACGGGTCCTGTGACCTTGGGTGAGTTACCTCAGTTATTCTGTAAAGATCAGGTGAACTGTGATTGTGGTCTTTTCCTTAGAAGGTGAGCAGCTCTGAGGAATGAGCCCTCTCTGCCTGTTGCCATTCAGACCTTTATACATGATTCCAGGTGACAATGTCACTGTTTTTCAACAGGATCAGGATAGAACAGATCAGATGTCTGTGCCATAAAAATGGACAAAAGGACATGGGCATGGACGGGAAAGATACAGGGGAAATGCGACAGCGGGAGCTTTTTCTGTAAAGAGCTTAATGAACAACATCAGCAGCGTCAGTTAGACATGGAAACAACTATCACCACACCGTGTAGTGCCACTGGGCAGGGGGCAAATGTCCACAGGAGTCAGAAGGGGACAAGGCTAATTCCCCCGAGCAGCAGGTCAGAAGACTGAGGAGAAGTCGACATGTTTCAGGGGAGCCTGGATGGGTGCAGAGGAGTTAGGTGAGCAAATCCCACCCGTTCAGGGCAACCGTTCTATCCTGATCCTGTTGAAAAACAGTGACATTGTCACCTGGAATCATGTATAAAGGTCTGAATGGCAACAGGCAGAGAGGGCTCATTCCTCAGAGCTGCTCACCTTCTAAGGAAAAGACCACAATCACAGTTCACCTGATCTTTACAGAATAACTGAGGTAACTCACCCAAGGTCACAGGACCCGTAAATGGCAGAGTCAGGGATTTATACCTGCTGGCCTCCAAAGCCCAGCCATCATGCACGTGGTCCACTGTGGATTCAGGTTTTCTCTGAGGCCTCAGTTCTAACTGTTTGCCTTTGCACATCTGCTGGGGAGCATGAGAGTTCTCTTTAAAGTTGGAACCCCTCAGTTCTCCTGGGGGACACTCAAAGCAGCAGCCCCTCAGAGACAAACAGCTCTTGGGAGCGAGCAAGCCGTTGTGAAGGCTCTTTCTGCCAGAGGCCCAACTCCAGGATGCCAAATCATTTCTACCAGCTGGTCCATCCCCTCCTATAGTGGAAATGGCCGCCTCCACTCCATCCTGCAGTGAGAGGAGAAGGCAAGGTGTCTCATTAACTCCCTCCTTTGTAAGAAGTGCTGATTTAGTTCCCCTGTTAGGCTGATTAAACCTTTTGTCTTAGGCGACACTCTAGGCGCTGGGGCTACTGGCTGATAGCGACATTAATTCAGGCAAGTCAAGCCGTGAGCATTCAAGCTCAGACCACATTAGTGGAGTTTTCCATCTATGACCCAAAGGACAGTTAAACACCGCTGCTTAACCCTATCAAGGACTTTGTTACAAAAAGACAAGTTTTACTTTCGGATTATCTTACATGGACTACAATTGAATCAATTGAAATTAGTAATGGAATCAATTGAAAATTCCATTACTAATGAGTCAATCTTTGTTAACAGGTGAAGTTGATGATTCCAAAGGTTATTGATACTTTCAGAAATATATGGCTTTCATCCACAGCACTGTGTGGGTGCTGGCATAAAACTAAAATCTCCCATCAGACTCTGCACCAACTTTTCTTGTTCCACTGATTTATACTAAAGTACTAAATTCTTATTTTCCTTCACAAATTTAATTTTTATCAAAATTTTATGTGCACGTTTACTCTGCCATTCTAAGAAAAAAAAGTGTCCACTCTTTATGGATCTTGCTTAAAATTTTAAAAATGATAATTGTGGAAGAGTCATCCATCCAAATATTTTTAAAACACCTACTATGTGCCAGGCTCTGTGTTAGGGGAATATAAAGATGAATAAAATCTAGTTCCTATAAGTAATACTAATAATCAAATGAGGGGTGGGGAGTGGATGAAGGTATGGATGATACAAGAATGGCAGAATGTTATGTTTATAGCAGCATTATTCACAATAGTCAAAAGATGGAAGCAACCCAAGTGTCTACAGATGAATGGATACACAAAATATACATACAATGAAATATTATTCAGCCTTAAAAAGGAAGGAATTTCTGGCATATGTTACAATATGGATGAACCTTGAAGGCATGATGTTAGGTGAAATAAGCCATATAACAAGGGGACAAATACTGATTCTACATATATCTAGAGTAGTCAAATT